GCAATTCACACCGTTCTAACCACTATCCGCGTAAACTTTAAAATTTATAATCCGCCAACTGAACCCCTCTATTCCTCTATGTTTAATACATATATATTTTTTAACCTCTAATGAAATATCAATGTAAAAATAAGTGACGACGAGACAAGAAGAAGAATGAAGATCGAAGAAGAGCAGCGTGTACCTTAATGAGGGACGATGAGACACGACTGACGATCGACGAGGAACGACGACTGACGAGAAGCGAAGACGATCGACGAACGACGAATCGACCCGATCCTCTTTTTCTCACCCTTTCTCTTCTGTTTCTGTTCTAATCGAAGTAGATTAGGGCAGATATTGTTCTATTTTTACTTATTTACAAATCGACCCCAAATTTTTTTTGTTATTTCTGAAATTGCCCGCGAACGTGTCCCGAAATTTCTACAACGTGTCCTAAACTTGTCCGGATGTAAAAAAAATAAGAATAAAAATGGAACACTATCTGGTGCGGGTCGGACACGTGCTCTCCGCGTGTCTGACGCGTGTCCGTGTCCGACACGTGTCTAACACTGGTACGGAGCCCACAGATAGGTGGTCGTGCTTCATAGTGTGCAGTGCAACCTCTGTATAGGATAGTATTTGAACGACGAATAGAGCGAATGAATGGGAGATACACAGATGGAATGAAGTTTGGTTTAGGAATGCTTGCCACTTTGGCTTGTTGTAATGTTGCTTGGTGGGTGGAGTATAAAAGGCTAAAAGATTTGAAAGAACACGACTTGTTAGGTAATCCCGATGCCATTGCACCAATATCTGTATTTTGGCACTCACCACACTTTGTACTGATGGGAATCTTGGACGGATTAGCTCTTTATGGTATTGAGGGTTTTTTTAAGTATCAGGTTCCAGAGTCAATAAGGAAGAGGTATGCACTCGTACTCACTGAAGCTGTGATTGGATGGGGAAAAATAGTGAACATAGGGTTTATTATGATATTCGACGTGGTGGTCATGAAGTTGAGAGCTGAAGATGGAAGTTGGATTGCAGACACTGTGAATCAGAGCCGTTTGGATCTTTTTATGCTGCGTTAGTGGTCGTGAGCATAGCCAATCTATTAATCTTTGCATATGTTGCTAGGTTCTACAGTTATCGTGATTTTCCAGAAGAGGAAGATGACGACGAAGAATAAGATCCAAATAAAGAAATTAAAACTGGAAAGAAGCAAGACAAGATGGAACCCACACCTGATGAAGAAACTGAAAAAACAATAAGAACTAGGGCTGTGCAAAATGTAACTCAATTCTGTGAAATCGAATTGATCCGTAGCAATTCACACCGTTCTAGCCATTATCCACGTAAACTTTAAAATTTATAATCTGCCAACTAAACCGCTCTATTCCGCTATAGTTAATACATATATATTTTTTAACCTCTAATGAAATATCAATGTAAAAATAAGTGACGACGAGACAAGAAGAAGAATGAAGATCGAACAAGAAGAAGAATAAAGATCGAAGAAGAGCAGCGCGTACCTTAATGAGGGACGACGAGACACGAGTGACGATCGACGAGGAACGAGGAACGACGACCGACGAGAAGCGAAGACGAACGACGAACGACGAATCGACCCGGTCCTCTCTTTCTTACCCTTTCTCTTCTGTTTCTGTTCTAATCGAAGTAGATTAGGGCAGATATTGATCTATTTTTTCTGATTTACAAATCAACCCCAAATTTTTTTTTCTAATTTCTGAAATTACCCCTGAACGTGTCCCGAAAGTTTCTATAACGTGTCCTGAACGTGTCCGGATGTAAAAAAAATAAGAATAAAAATGGGACACTCTCTGGTGCGTAACGGAAACGTGCTCTCCACGTGTCTGATGCGTGTCCGTGTCCGACATGTGTCTAACACTGGTACGGAGCCCTCGGAGAGGTGGTCGTGCTTCATAGTGTGCAGTGCAACCTCTGTATAGGATAGTATTTGAACGACGAATAGAGCGAATGAATGTGAGATCCTCAGCTGGAATGAAGGTTGGTTTAGGAATGCTTGTCGCTTTGGCTTGTTGTAATGTTGCTTTGTGGGCGGAGTATAAGAGGCTAAAAGATTTGAAAGAACACGACTTGTTTGGTAATCCTGATGCCATCGCACCAATATCTGTATTTTGGCTCTCACCACAGTTTGTACTGATGGGAATCATGGACGGATTAGGTCTTTATGGTATTGAGGATATTTTTAAGTATCAGGTTCCAGAGTCAGTAAGGAAGAGGTATGCACTCGTACTCACGGAAGCTGTGACTGGATGGGGAAAAATAGTGAACATAGGGTTTATTATGATATTAGACGTGGTGGTCATGAAGTGGAGAGCTGAAGCTGCAAGTTGGATTGCAGACACTGTGAATCAGAGCCGTTTGGATCTTTTTTATGCTGCGTTTGTGGTCGTGAGCATAGCCAATCTGTTAATTTTGCATATGTTGCTAGGTTCTACAGTTACCGTGATTTTCCAGAAGAGAAAGATGACGACGAAGAAGAAGATCCAAATAAAGAAATTAAAACTGGAAAGAAGCAAGACAAGACGGAACCCACACCAGATGAAGAAATTGAAAGAACAATAAGAGCTAGGGCTGTGCAAAATGTAACTAAATTCAGTGAAATCGAATTGATCCGTAGCAATTCACAAAGTTCTAACCACTATCCGCGTAAACTTTAAAATTTATAATCTGCCAACTAAACCGCTCCTTTCCGCTATAGTTAATACATATATATTTTTTAACATCTAATGAAATATCAATGCAAAAATAAGTGATGACGAGACATGAAGAAGAATGAATATCGAACAAGAAGAAGAATGAAGATCGAAGAAGAGCAGCGCATGCCTTAATGAGGGACGATGAGACACGAGTGACGAGTGACGATCGACGAGGAACGACGACCGACGAGAAGCGAAGACAAACGACGAACGACGAATCGACCCGATCCTCTCTTTCTCACCCTTTCTCTTCTGTTCCTGTTCTAATCGAAGTAGGTTAGGGCAGATATTGATCTAATTTTACTTATTTACAAATCAACCCCAAATTTTTTTTTCTACTGAACGTGTCCCGAAAGTTTCAATAACCTGTCCTGAACGTGTCCAGACGTAAAAAAAATAAGAATAAAAATGGGACACTCTCTGGTGCGTGTCGGACACGTGCTCTACGCGTGTCTGACGCGTGTCCATGTCCGACACGTGTCTAACACTGGTACGGAGCCCTCGGAGAGGTGGTCGTGCTTCATAGTGTGCAGTGCAACCTCTGTATAGGATAGTATTTGAATGACGAATAGAGCGAATGAATGGGAGATACTCAGCTGGAATGAAGGTTGGGTTAGGAATGCTAGCTGTTTTGGCTTGTTGTAATGTTGCTTGGTGGGTGGAGTATAAAAGGCTAAAAGCTTTGAAAGAACACGACTTGTTAGGTAATCCCGATGCCATTGCACCAATATCTGTATTTTGGCTCTCTCCACAGTTTGTACTGATGGGAATCGTGGACGGATTAGCTCTTTATGGTATTGAGGATTTTTTTAAGTATCAGGTTCCAGATTCAATAAGGAAGAGGTATGCACTCGTGCTCACTGAAGCTTTGATTGGATGGGGAAAAATAGTGAACATAGGGTTTATTATGATATTAGACGTGGTGGTCATGAAGTTGGGAGCTGATGATGGAAGCTGGATTGCAGACATTATGAATCAGAGCCGTTTGGATCTTTTTTATGCTGCATTAGCGGTTGTGAGCATAGCCAATCTGTTAATCTTTGCATATGTTGCTAGGTTCTACAGTTACCGTGATTTTCCAGAAGAGGAAGATGACGATGAAGAAGAAGATCCGCATAAAGAAACTAAAACTAGAAAGAAGCAAGACAAGATGGAACCCACAGTTTGTACTGATGGTAGCTGTTTTGGTTTAGGAATGCTAGCTGTTTTGGTTTGTTGTAATGTTGCTTGGTGGGTGGAGTATAAAAGGCTAAAAGCTTTGAAAGAACACGACTTGTTAGGTAATCCCGATGCCATTGCACCAATATTTGTATTTTGGCTCTCTCCACAGTTTGTACTGATGGGAATCGTGGACGGATTAGCTCTTTATGGTATTGAGGATCTTTTTAAGTATCAGGTTCCAGATTCAATAAGGAAGAGGTATGCACTCGTGCTCACTGAAGCTGTGATTGGATAGGGAAAAATAGGAAACATAGGGTTTATTATGACATTAGACGTGGTGGTTATGAAGTTGAGAGCTGAAGATGCAAGTTGGATTGCAGACACTGTGAATCAGAGCCGTTTGGATCTTTTTTATGCTGCGTTAGTGGTCGTGAGCATAGCCAATCTGTTAATTTTCCATATGTTGCTAGGTTCTGCAGTTACCATGATTTTCCAAAAGAGAAAGATGACGACGAAGAAGAAGATCCAAATAAAGAAATTAAAACTGGAAAGAAGCAAGATAAGATGGAACCCACACCTGATGAAGAAATTGATAGAACAATAAGAGCTAGGGTTGTGCAAAATGTCACTCAATTCAGTGAAATCGAATTGATCCGTAGCAATTCACACCGTTCTAACCACTATCCGCGTAAACTTTAAAATTTATAATCCGCCAACTAAACAGCTCCATTCTGCTATAGTTAATACATATATATTTTTTAACCTCTAATGAAATACCAATGTAAAAACTAGTGAGGACGAGACAAGAAGAATAATGAAGATCGAACAAGAAGAAGAATGAAGAACGAAGAAGAGCAGCGCGTACCTTAATGAGGGACGACGAGACACGAGTGACGAGTGACGATCGACGAGGAACGACGACCGACGAGAAGCGAACACGAACTACGAACGACGGACGACGAATCGATCCGGTCCTCTCTTTCTCACCCTTTCTCTTATGTTTCTACTCTAATCGAAGTAGATTATGACAAATATTGATCTATTTTTACTTATTTACAAATCGACCACAAATTTTTTTTTGTAATTTCTGAAATTACCCCCGAACGTGTCCCGAAAGTTTCTATAACGTGTCCTGAACGTGTCCGGATGTAAAAAAAATAAGAATAAAAATAGGACACTCTCTGGTGCGTGTGGGACACGTGCTCTCCGTGTGTCCGACGCGTGTCCGTGTCCGACACGTGTCTAACACTGGTGCGGAGCCCACAGAGAGGTGGTTGTGCTTCATAGTGTGCAGTGCAACCTCTGTATAGGATAGTATTTGAACGACGAAAAGAGCGAATGAATGGGAGATACTCAGCTGGAATGAAGGTTGGTTTAGGAATGCTTGCCGCTTTGCCTTGTTGTAATGTTGCTTGGTGGGTGGAGTATAAAAGGCTAAAAGCTTTGAAAGAACACGACTTGTTAGGTAATCCCGATGCCTTTGCACCAATATCTGCATTTTGGCTCTCTCCATAGTTTGTACTGATGGGAATCCTGGACGTATTAGCTCTTTATGGTATTGAGGATTTTTTTAAGTATCAGGTTCAAGAGTCAATAAGGACGACGTATGCACTCGTACTCACTGAAGCTGTGATTGGATGGGGAAAAATAGTGAACATAGGGCTTATTATGATATTAGACGTGGAGGTCAGGAAGTTGAGAGCTGAAGATGGAAGTTGGATTGCAGACACTGTGAATCAGAGCCGTTTGGATCTTTTTTATGCTGCCTTAGTGGTCGTGAGCATAGCCAATCTATTAATCTTCGCATATGTTGCTAGGTTCTACAGTTATCGTGATTTTCCAGAAGAGAAAGATGACGATGAAGCAGAAGATCCAAATAAAGAAATTAAAACTGGAAAAAACAAGACAAGATGGAACCCACACCAGATGAAGAAACTAAAAGAACAATAAGAACTAGGACTGTGCAAAATGTAACTCAATTTAGTGAAATCCAATTGATCCGTAGCAATTCGCACCGTTCTAACCACTATCTGGGTAAACTTTAAAATTTATAATCTGCCAACTAAACCGCTCTATTTTGCTATTGTTAATACATATATATTTTTTATCCTCTAATGAAATATCAATGTAAAAATAAGTGACGACGAGACAAGAAGAAGAATGAAGATCGAAGAAGAAGAAGAATG